TCTGGCATACCCTGTAGGTGAAGATATGATGGATTTTGGGCAACACTGGATGGTCATGTATTTTATGGTCCCTCATTGTTTCACAGTATTATTATATGTTTAAACTCCAAATTCGTCAGGACAGTTGAAAAACATTGAACATTGAATAACCTATCGCTGGAGACATGATCTATTATACGAAATATGCAAACTAACACATATCATTTACATATTACATATTTACATATTACAAAATGTATTGAAAAATCACTGTTATATGAATGTGTTGTATTCATAGAGATTAATGAGGTGGTTAAGTAAGTTTATTTAGGTACAGGTGTACATAAGTACAATTATCATACGTATGTGTAAATTACCCACTAGGATAGCCCATAAAAGTCTGACAAAGTAACTTATTTCCATTGGGGTCCTTGAAATTCATTGTTGTCCTTGAGAGTGGACTCTGATGGGTCTTGTCACAAAGTTCAATTTCTTGAAAGGATGGAGGCAGAGACTTGTATATTTTATTTTATTTATCCATATTCATCCTGATGTAAACAAAAAAATAAACATACATAACAAATTTATATTAAGAGGCTAGTGTCCCCCAAAGAGGAAAATACAGTACAGTATAATACAATTTTTATTCCTTAAGCAGTACAAACAATGTAGTTTACATCTAATAATACATTGGTAGGCACAGAAGAAAACTAACTGTGCAATGCATTTCAGGCCAACTAATCATGTCGTAAATGTTAATTAACCCTTTCAGGGTCCAGAGACCAAATTTCAAAGTGTGCACCAGTGTCCAAGAATTTTCAAAAAATAATTTTGTTATTTTTTTCTTATGAAATGGTAGATAATCTTTTTCTGAAGGTAATAAAACAAAAAGTACGAAATTTGATGGAAAATTGACGAAATTATGCTCGCAAATTTTGATGTGTCAGTGATATTTGCGCATCTGCGATTTTGCCGACTTTGACTTCTATTTTAGGCCAATTACATTATTCCAGTCGACCAAATTCTTAGCTATTTCACTAGTATTACTTCTATTCTATCGATTGAGCACAAGAATTCGCCAAGTCAACTGTTTCAACTACAAAATAAAGTGATCGGAAATTGGTAATTTGGCCAATTTAATGCAAAGTTCAAAATATTCCAATTTCAAAATAGGGTCCAGAATAAACAATGCAGGCATTCCTGGCACTAGACTAGCATTTCCTCTGTTCATTAGTTACGTTTTTAGGCTTTACTAATGAATTCCATTTTGATTTTTTATTCACATAATAAATTTTTATTCAAACCAAAAAATAGAAGATTACTGTTATGCAATATTGTAATAATTGTATAAATAATATCACCACGTTTGTGAACGTATACTAGACTCACCAGCAGGTGTGTATTAGACGTGTGAGGTCATTTGTTTACTCTTAACCCTTTCAGGGTTTCGGCCATGCTAGTACGGCTTACGCCCCAGGGTTTTTGACGTACTAGTACGCCTAAATTCTAGCGCCCTCAAATCTAGTGAGAGAAAGCTGGTAGGCCTACATATGAAAGAATGGGTCTTTGTGGTCAGTGTGCGCAGTATAAAATAAATACTGAAGCACACAGTGCGTAATGAGAAAAAAAAAAACTTTGTGTTTTTGGATTAAAACAGCAACTTTGCACTGTATTTTCGTATGGTATTTATTGTTGTATTCTAGTTTTCCTGGTCTCATTTTATAGAATGGAAGACATACAGTGGACCCCCGCATACCGATTTTAATCCGTGCAAGAGGGCTCATTGGTATGCGAAATAATCGGTATGCGAATGAATTTTCCCCATAAGAAATAATGGAAATCAAATTAATCCGTGCAAGACACCCAAAAGTATGAAAAAAAAATTTTTACCACGTGAAATATACATTTTCCTACACACAAAGAGAAGGATACATGCACAATAGTAGAGTGGTACATGCACAGTATATATTGTGCATGTACTAGTCTACTAAATGAAGAATAAATGACACTTACCTTTATTGAAGATGCAGCAATGACTGATGAGACACGTGTCCTGGGAGTGCCTTTTCCTCCTGAGTACTGTAGGTCCTGTTTGGTATTTTCTTCCAGAACATGCCTTATCACACTGTGTATGTCACTACGATTCTTAAATCTCTCAAACCAACCTTTGCTGGCTTTAAATTCACCAATATGAGCACTAGTTCCAGGCATTTTTTCCCTGTTCACCTGGGTGTTAGTCGACTGGTGTGGGTTGCATCCTGGGAGACAAGATTAAGGACCCCAATGGAAATAAGTTAGACAGTCTTCGATGACACTGACTTTTTTGGTTATCCGGGGTGGCAAATCCTCTGGGGTTAATTGTTTCTTGGTATATTCTCAATAAGCCACACCAACAACAGTGCTACAGCAGCAGCAGACGATGCTACAGCAGCAGCAGCAGCAGACATGCACAGCAGCAGCAGCAGAGACGATGCTACAGCAGCAGCAGACGATGCTACAGCAGCAGCAGACGATGCTACAGCAGCAGCAGACGATGCTACAGCAGCAGCAGCAGCTGACAGTGCTACAGCAGCAGCAGACGATGCTACAGCAGCAGCAGACGATGCTACAGCAGCAGCAGACGATGCTACAGCAGCAGCAGACGATGCTACAGCAGCAGCAGCAGCTGACAGTGCAGCAGCAGCAGCTGTACCACCAATAGTAGCGATGGTTGATTGGGGTTTATTATACAACCTGGCCAGCTCGGAGACACGCACTCCATTTTCATACTTATCAATGATCTTTTTCTTCATCTCTATAGTAATTCTCACCCTTATTGCTGTAGGGTTGGCACTAGAAGCTTTCTTGGGGCCCATGGTCACTTATTTTCCAGATAAAATCACCAAAAACACTGTAATAATACGAAATGTTACGATTGTACGCTTGGATGCTACCGCGGAGGCTGGCTGGTAAACAATGCCACCGGCGGAACATGTGAGGCTGGCTAAGGCACACATTAGACGCGTCTCGGATGAACAGCGGTGAGCGGGTTTTTAAGTGGTATGCGAGGCAAAATTTTAGCGATAAAATGTATCGGTATGCGGATTAAACGTTATGTGATGCCAACGGTATGCGGGGGTCCACTGTATTACAGAAATTGAGATGATTTTGACAGGTTTTACAATGAAAAGTACCTTGAAATTGAGCTCAAAGTAGCAGAAATGTTCGATTTTTACCAAAGTTCAAAAGTAAACAAATCATGCCAAGCATCCAATACACGTCAACTGGTGAGTCTCATATTCTTTCACAAGTGCGCTGATCTCATTTATACCATTTCTACACTAATGCAGTAGTCTGCATAACAGTAAATCTTCTATTTTTTGTAAGAATAAAAATTCAAAGTGGAAAGCCAAAGAAATATAAGAGGGGCCTGGGGTTGTGACTAACGAACAGAGAACTTGTTACACCTACCATCCAACTTACGGCCGAGTTCGGTTTCGAGAAACCGGTCGTAAGTCGAAATAGACGTAAGTCAAACTTTACTGCTGAATATCAACATAACATTTTTGTAATGACTTTATTTTATTGTTTTATTTTGGTATTTCATGTTTTACTTTACTTTTTATGCTGTTAGTACTGTATTTTATACTGTAAGGTTTAGGATAAACATTGTGTACAACACAAACACTTGTTTATTTCCCAGAAATTTGGCATAAAAAACATGGTCGTAAGTCGAGTCGTCGTATGTCGAGCAGGTCGTAAGTCATAAGTCCTGGCCCTTTATCACTCTCTTATTTACCCCTATCTCACCTATGGAATTTGTGCATGGGGCTCAACAACAATTAACCATCTCAGACCACTAATTACCCAACAAAAGGCTGCAGTTAGAATGATAACAAATTCTCACTACAGGCAGCACACTCCACCAGTATTCAAAACACTCAACCTACTCACCATACAAAACATCCATACTTATTACTGCACCTATTACATACATAGAACACTTAACTCTGATATTAACCCTCCCCTCAAACATCTTGCCAACCTCAACAGAACACATGACCATAACACAAGGCACAGATCACTCTTTGATGTTCCTCGTTTCCATCTCACGCTATGCAAAAACTCAATTCACATAAAAGGCCCTAAAATCTGGAATTCATTACCTGTAAATATAAAAGAAACACTACCTGTTTATAAATTCAAGTCTCTTCTCAAAGATCACTTACTCACTCAAAACCAAATAAATACTGAATAACTGAACCTTATAAATTGTATATCCTAAATGTTACTCACAATTATATCACACAAATGTTAAACCTAGGACCCAATCTAACTTTATTATTTTTTTAAATACACTACCTAACAGAATACTCCATTCGACTGAATGTACAGCAATGCATACAACCATATGACTTTTGTCTTTGTAATACTCATTTGTGCTTTAATAACTTAGTTTCTGTTTACAATAATGTTTTATCACTTGAATTTCATTCATTGCTTAGTTAATCCTTAACCACTTTGGAGGGTTTTGGTCGTACTAGTACACATTTACGCGTAGGGGTTTTTGACGTATAGTTCGCATACTTCTAGCGGCCTCAATCTCCAGGAAAAGGCTGATAAGCTAGATGTGAGAGAATGGGTCTGGTGGTGGGTGTGCCGCAGTAAGGAAAAAAATCTGGGACCCCAGTTGGTGCATTGTGGTATGCCATCAATAGTACACAATTTTCCAACCGTGCCCTCGGTAGAATTCCATCGACTCCTGAAGCGAATTGGACACACTTTTGTTCCCAGTGAAGTTCTAATACAGAGGAAAGGACAGTGGAGAGAGGTTCAAGGTGGTGAGGTTTGACAAACAATGACCATAATAAGGGAAATAGTGAGGAAAAAGACAACCACAGCCTTCACCTCTGGTGCTGGGGCGTGTTCAGTTGTACCAGAAGTCAAAAGAGGAAACTCCTATTTCCAAAATCCAACTCAGATAATACATTAGATAATGAATATGCATTAATGAACTACAAGTCTTCAAAACTTGTTCCAAAATGGAGGAGAAGGATGGAAGAAGGATGGATAGAGGAGAAGTCACCATGAGGAAGCAAGAGGAGGAGGAAGGCAGAGTTGGAGGGTAGAGGTAGAGGAAGAAGAAAGAGAGGAGTAGGAAACCCCGGAGGAGAGTAGGAGTTTGCGGGAGGAGGAGAAGAACATCCTTTGTTATACAATATTTCATAATAACTAATACATCTCATAACTTTTATCACATCTTAATCAATATACATATGATATACATAATTAATAATAGGTAATAAAAATAATATGTATTAAATGTTACCTGTGACAGTAACAAGATAAAAGGGAGATAAATCTGATAAGTGCTGACGGTTTGATGAGGTAAATGAGGTTGACGAGCCAAAAAGAGATAACTGCCATACACCTTTGTTTTGCTGGATACTAACATTTCTGTCGTACACTATGGACTAGGAGGACAAGGAGAAGGAAGAAGAGTAGGGGGAAGAGGAAGAAGAGGAGGAGGAGGAAGAGTAGGAGGAAGAGGAATAAGAGGAAGAGGAGGAGGAAGAGGAATAGTAGGAGGAAGATTAGGGGGAAGAGGAGGAAAGAGAGGAGGAAGAGGAAAAGAAGAGGAGGAGGAGGAAGAGGAAGAGTAGGAAGAGGAAGATAGGAGGAAGAGGAGGAAGAGGAAGAGTATGAGGAAGAGTAGGGGAAGAGGAGGAAGAGTAGGGGGAAGAGGAGGAAGAGGAAGAAGAGGAGGAGGAGGGTGGAACACTAGTACACTGGTACTGGTACACTAACATTTCTGTCTGTCTATTTGTCTGTCTGTCAAGCTCCCTGTCTATCTGTCTATCCGTCTAGCTCTCTGTCTCAGAGAGCCACAAGACTGTGTCATCACTTTTACTCACATCTTCAAGCAGAGTATAGCACTTTGTCTGGAATTCTTGGGTTATCCTAGGTAATTTATACTATGTATACTTGTATTTATGTGTACCTGTGAGACAGAGATAGACAGACAGAAAGAGAGAGACAGATTGAAAGAGATAGAATGAGGGAGAAAGATAAAACACCATTGTGTATGACACCATGTTTCAGAGTTCCACAAGCTGCAGAACTAATAGGAATTTTGTTCAGTGACTGTATATTGTATATATATTATAGAACAATAATAATAAACAATGTTTTGTATGTTTGTTTTTGTAAACAAGTTTTGTAAACAATATATTGATAATTATGTTTGTGTGCTTATTGTGTTGTATACAACGAGTGCATATATGTACATTGCACTTACTTTGGTCTCATAGGCCACATAAGTTATGTGAAAAAATAAAATAGTGAAAAAAACAACAAACCTTCAAATACAAGTAAATCAAAGTTTACCGGGTGAGCAGCAGTCGCCGTTGTTGCCATACCGGCTCATTTTCTGCAAACTTCATGCATCCATATCTCCGTAAGTATTGATGGTAAAATTTTTTTGTTTATCCTATAATGTTTAGAAAAAAAAACTCTATTTTTTCATAAGAAAAAATAATTTTTTTTTTTTTTTGAAATTTGGCCGACCCTGAGAACGAGTTTCGGAGAGGGCCTGTCGACCCTCAAAGGGTTAAGTTAATTTTAAGCCAGCCCGTAATGCTATGCATATAAGTGGCTTTGGCATGCTGCTCTTACCTGTATTTTTTTGTACCTCTGTATGTATGCTAAAATTACTAAATAAATAAATAAATAGTAGGTGTATTTTAGTGCCAGGAATGTCTTTCTTGTTTATTCTGGACCCTATTCGGAAATTGGTGTCTTTTGAAATTTGTGTGAAATTGGCAAAATTGCTAAATTCTGACCGCTTTATTGGATAGTTGAAATTGGTAAGTGGGTGGTTTCTTGTACTCATTCGATAGAAAAAATGGAGTTCTAGCGAAATAGTTATGATTTTTGTCGACTAGTATACTGGAATTGGCCGAAAATAGGGCTCAAAGTGGGCAAAATCGCCGATGTGTAAACTTCGTCAAGACCGCTAACTTCGTGAGAGCATAATTTCGTAAGTTTTCCATCAAATTTCATACTGTTGGTGTCATTATGATCAGGAAAAGATTCTCTATCTTTTCATAAGAAAAAAATAATTTTTTTTTTTTTAAATTTGGGGATCCTGAGAACAAGTCTCAGAGAGGGCCTGGGGACCCTGAAAGTGTTAAACATCGGCAAAAATTTAACATTTCCACTACTTTGAGCTCAGTTTCAAGCCATTTCCAGTACAAAAACCAATTAAAATTATCTCTATTTCTGTAATATGTCTTCCATTCTATCAAATGAGACCAAGAAATTGCAAATACAACTATTAAAAAATATACGAAAAAACACTGCAAAGTCACTGTTTTAATCGAAAATTACGGTCTCAGTTTTTTTTCTCTCGTTATGCACTATGTGCTGCAGGGTTTGTTCTGTGTGATCCACACATACCAAATAGATGTATTCTCTCATATCTAGGCCAAAATTTACCGCTCACAGCTTATCAGAGTGAGCTGAGCTTATGATGTAGATCTGCGGTTTGGACCCTCAACGTAAAGCCGTAGATCTATGGCACGGACCCTCAAAGGGTTAAGAACTAGACATGGACTATTATGTAGGACTTCTTATGCAGTTAACTACAATCATTGTTAAGGGTTATATACTGCATACAGAATTAATTGTTAAGTATTATAATCCTTTGTGTTTATGTATTTTACTGTACATTCCTTCGATTCTAAAACCATCTGATCTCTGCTAAGTACAGAGCCTGCACTGTGATGGAGGGGTGGGGATATTTGCAGTTTTCAACTGTAGTACTGGTGCCCCTCTGGCAAGACAGTGATGTAGTGAATGATGATGACAGTGGGATACAGTCAGTTTGTTAAAAAAAAAAAAAAAAAAAAATGTCCTACAATCCAGTGGTTGTTTTCAAAGTTTTGTTTTTGATAATCAAAAAACACAACTTTTACATGTGGATGCACATCCACCAAGAGTTCTGGATGTGTATAGAAATTATCAAGTCAAGAGATAACACAAGTGTCATGGTCCCAAAACTGTTCAACTGCCTCTCAGCATACATAAGGAGAATTACCAATAGCCCATTGGCTGTCTTGAGGGCACCGGACAGGGACTTAATGTCAGTACCTGACTAGCCGGGCTGTGGTTTGTACGTTGGTTTATGTGCAGTCAGCAGTAACAGCCTGGTTGATCAGGACTTGATCCACCATGAGGCCTGGTCATGGACCGGGCTGTGGGGGGTATTGACCCCTGGAACACCATCCAGGTATAAAAGAAACTTGAATGCAAAGTTCTTGCATCTCACTTAAAATGAATTTTGGAATAAAGTGATGATTAAGCCAGTCAATAAATAATTCCTCTGTCATCCATGTTGTATTTAGTATCACTTTCAAAATGTTAAGAGCATTGTTTTCTTTAAGATTATCTAAACATCTAAACTGGTATATCTGCACACCTATGGCAAGACAGTGATAATGTGAATGATGGTGAAAGTGTTTCTTTTTCAGGTCACCCTGCCTAGGTAGGAGATATTAACCCTTAAATGGTCCAAACATATATATACGTTTTTTCAACATCTGAAAGTATGTAAAAAATGTAGATCTTCTTTTTTGTTTTACATATGAAAACGTGTAAAAAAATTTTTATCTACATTTTTTTTTTTTGTTATACAGTGGACCCCCGGTTAACGATATTTTTTCACTCCAGAAGTATGTTCAGGTGCCAGTACTGACCGAATTTGTTCCCATAAGGAATATTGTGAAGTAGATTAGTCCATTTCAGACCCCCAAACATACACGTACAAACGCACTTACATAAATACACTTACATAATTGGTCGCATTCGGAGGTAATCGTTATGCGGGGGTCCACTGTATTTGAAAATATGTAAAAAAAGTAGATCTACTTTTGTAGCACTACGAATTTGAACGTCGATCTGTTTGGACCGTTTAACCCTTTCAGGGTCCAAGGCCCAAATCTGGAGTCACGCACCAGTGTCCAAGAATTTTCACAAAAAAAATTTGTTATTTTTTCTTATGAAATCGTAGAGAATCTTTTTGTGAAGGTAATAAAACAAACAGTACGAAATTTGGTGGAAAATTGACGAAATTATGCTCTCGCGAATTTTGATGTGTCAGCGATATTTACAAATCGGCGATTTTGCCGACTTTGACTCCCATTTTAGGCCAATTACATTATTCCAATCAACCAAATTCTTAGCTATTTCACTAGTATTAGCTTCTATTCTATCGATTGAGCACAAGAAATCGCCAAGTCAACTGTTTCAACTACAAAATAAAGTGATCGGAAATTGTTAATTTGGCCAATTTAACACAAAGTTCAAAATATTCCAATTTCAAAATAGGGTCCAGAATGAACAATGTAGGCATTCCTGGCACTAAACTAACATTCCTCTGTTCATTAGTTTTTGTTTTGAGGCTTTACAAATAAATTCCATTTTGATTTTTTATTCACATAATGAATTTTTATTCAACACCAAAAAATAGAAGATGTACTCTTATGCAATACTGTAATAATTGTATAAATATCATCACCATATTTGTGAATGTATATTAGACCCACCAGCTGACGTGTATTAGATGTGTGAGGTCGTTTGTTTACTCTTGAAAAATCGGCATAAAATTTAACATTTCCGCTACTTTGAGCTCAGTTTTCAAGCCATTTCCAATGCTAAAACCAATCAAAATCATCTCTATTTCTGTAATATGTCTTCCATTCTATCAAATGAGACCAAGAAATTGCAAATACAACTATAAAAAACATACGAAAAAACACTGCAAAGTTGCTGTTTTAATCGAAAAATCATGATTTCATTTTTTTTCTCTCATTATACACAGTGTGCTGCAGGATCTGTTTTATGTGGTGCACACATACCACATAGATGTATTCTCTCATATCTAGGCCCAAATGTACCACTCACAGTTTATCAGAGTGAGCTGAGCTCATGGCGTAGATCTACGGTTTGGACCCTGAACGTAAAGCCGTAGATCTACGGGACGGACCCTGAAAGGGTTAAGGGTTAAGTGTGTTAAAAAAAATTTTTAACACTTTTTAATTTTATTTCAGGAACATCTGTCTTTAAAAGGCAATAATTTAGAAAAACTCTATGGAGCAATAACAGCCCTGCCATGCCTCCGATCTCTTAATGTCCGCCGAAACAAACTCAAGAAATCTGGCATTCCCAGTGATCTCTTCGAAATGGATGATTTAACTACGTTAGATTTCTCACACAACAGTCTATCTGAAATTCCTGAAGGTTTAGAAGAAGCAAAGTCTCTCTTGGTGCTCAATCTCTCTGACAACTAGTAAGTGATTCATTGATGACTACATTATATTTACACTGTTATATACTGTATAGTCCTGGGGAAGTACTTAACACCTAAGAATTGTACAGTGCTTGGAAAAAGGGACAAATCAGGTTTGATACAAGGAAGAGGAGGGTAGTTTAAATATATTCCTTGCATCAGGAGCCTTGCACCAGAATCATGACACCTTTTGGGAGGTATGTACAATATTACATTATATAATACATTATTAATATGTTTAAATATATCAGCTGGAGAATCCTTTCTCTGTAAGCCATGTGTGTTGTAAGAGGTGACTAAAATGCTTGGGAGCAAAGTGCTAGTAACCCCTTCTGTGTAAATTACTAAATGTAATTTTTTTTTTTTTTTTTTTTTTGGGGGGGGGGGGTCACCCTGCATCAGTGGAAGATGGCCGATATGTTAAAAAAATCAGCTGAAGAAATGGTGCTGTTTGAAATGAAAAAATCAGTTTTCATGTCTTAATTCAGGTGCAGAAATGAGGGACTTAAGGGCAAGGATAACTATAGCATTAGGTTTCCACTGGCCTTGTGAAATGTTAAATGGGTTTATAATGAAATCATCATGGTTCTTAACTTTTTTTTGTACAAATCATTATGGATAGCCAAGTATTTTCAGCTGTCCAGTGATGGTGCTGATTTCTTACTTTGCATTGTATGGAAGATTTAAATAGTATTTGTAGTCTTCCAGCATTAAATTTTTAACAGAGTGGCTCTTCCTGAATCTTTGTATACCTGGAGTATGCCTGGAGAGGGTTTCAGGGGTCAGTGCCCCGGCGACCCGGTCTGAGACCATGCCTCGTAGTGGATAAGGGTCTGATTAACCAGGGTGTTACTGCTGGCCACATGCAAACTGATGTATGAACCACAGCCCAGCTGGTCAGGTACTGACTTTAGGTGCCTGTCCAGCGTCTTCTTGAAGACAGCCAGGGGTCTATTGGTAATCCCCCTTATATATGATGGGAGGCAATTGAACAGTCTCAGGCTCCCCATACTTATTGTGTTGCATCTCCTGCCGAGTCTTTTGCTTTCATAGGGAGTGATTTTTGTGTGCAAGTTTGTTACCAATCCTTCTAGGATTTTCCAAGTGTATATTATTATGCAACTTTCTCGCCTGCATTCCAGGGAATACAAATCGAGGGACTTCAACCGTTCCCAGTAATTTAGATACTTTATCTTATTTATGTGTGCCATAGAAGTTCTTTATATATGCTCTAGGTCATCAATTTTGCCTTCCTTGAAGGGAGCAGTTAGTCACTGAGAATTCATCATTTAATTTGCTTATGCATTCATTTAATTATTTACATTTTTCTAATCATTATTGTTACCAGATTGAGAGTAATGGAAAGCCATTTGTGATGCACCTCCAGCATGTACTTCAAACTTATATCAGTTTATTTAAGCTTCTTCTTATTTCTTACTACACACTGGCCATATCCCACTGAGGCAGGGTGGCCCAAAAAGAAAAACAAAAATTTCTCTTTTTAAACTTAATAATATATACAGGAGAGGGGGTTACTAGCCCCTTGCTCCTGGCATTTTAGTCGCCTCTTATGACAGGTATTGCTTAACAGATTAAGAATTCTGGTCCAATTCTGCATGGAGATTATTATTATTTTTTTTTTTTTATTATTAGTCAGCCATGACTTAAGAAATCGTAATGACACGATTGCAAATAAACCATACCCCCGGCCGGGATTGAACCCGCGGTCATAGAGTCTCAAAACTCCAGCCCGTCGCGTTAGCCACTAGACCAGCTAGCCACAATAAGATTCATCCAACTAGGTATATTTCTACACCATAGGAAAGTTAGCACAGGCACCTCTGTGACCACAAATGCAAGTTTTTACAGACGAATCTCCAGCTAGCGTTGGATGAATCTTATTGTGGCTAGCTGGTCTAGTGGCTAATGCGACGGGCTGGAGTTTTGAGACTATGACCGCGGGTTCAATCCCGGCCGGGGGTATGGTTTATTTGCAATCGTGTCATTACGATTTCTTAAGTCATGTTGACGGCAGTGAAGGGACTTGAGCTAGAGTTCGTCACAGCCACACTAGCTGGAGATTCGTCTGTAAAAACTTGCATTTGTGGTCACAGAGGTGCCTGTGCTAACTTTCCTATGGTGTAGAAATATACCTAGTTGGATGAATCTTATTGTGGCTAGCTGGTCTAGTGGCTAACGCGACGGGCTGGAGTTTTGAGACTCTATGACCGCGGGTTCAATCCCGGCCGGGGGTATGGTTTATTTGCAATCGTGTCATTACGATTTCTTAAGTCATGTTGACGGCAGTGAAGGGACTTGAGCTAGAGTTCGTCACGGCCACGCTAGCTGGAGATTCGTCTGTAAAAACTTGCATTTGTGGTCACAGAGGTGCCTGTGCTAACTTTCCTATGGTGTAGAAATATACCTAGTTGGATGAATCTTATTGTGGCTAGCTGGTCTAGTGGCTAACGCGACGGGCTGGAGTTTTGAGACTCTATGACCGCGGGTTCAATCCCGGCCGGGGGTATGGTTTATTAGTCAGCCATCTCCCACCAAGGCAGGGTGACCCTAAAAGAAAGGAAATCCCCAAAAAGAAAATATTTTCACCATCATTCAACACTTTCACCTCACTCATACATAATCACTTGTTTTTGCAGAGATACCCAGATACAACAGTTTAGGAGCATATACTGTAAAGATATTAACATATCCCTCCAAACTGCCAATATCCCAAACTCCTTCAAAATGCAGGCATTGTACTTCCCATTTCCAGTAATCAAGTCTGGCTATATAAAAATAACCAGTTCCCCTGAATCCCTTTACTATATGTTACCCTGCTAACACTCCAACAGCTTGTCAAGTGCCAAAAGCCATTCATCTCCATTTACTGCTATCAAACACACTCACACAGGTTTGCTGGAAATCCATGCCCCTCGCCCACAAAACCTCCTCTACCCTCTCCCTACAACCTTTTCAAGGACAACCCCTACCCTACCTTCCTTCCTTTCCCCTTCTCCAAGTCACTCTACTTTGATCCATTCTCTCTAAATGACCAAACCACCTCAACAACCCCTCTTCAGCCCTCTGACTAATACTTTTAGTAACTCCAAACCTTCTCCTAATTTCCACACTCCGAATTTTCTGCATAATATTTACACCACACATTGCCCTTAGACAGGACATCTCCACTACCTCCATCCGCCTCCTCGCTGCAGAATTTACAATCCAAGCTTCACACCCATATAAGAGTGTTGGTACCACTATACTTTTGCACATTCCCTTCTTTGCATCTATAGATAACGTTTTTTGTCTCCGCATATATCGCAACGCACCACTCACCTTTTTTCCTTCATCAGTTCTATGGTTGACCTCATCCTTTATAAACCCATCCACTGATATGTTAATTCACAAATATCTAAGAGCATTCACTTCTCCTATACTCTCTCTCTCCAATGTGATATCCAATTTTTCTTTATCTAAATCATTTGATATCTTCATCACCTTACTCTTATCTGTGTTCACTTTCAACTTTCTACCTTTACACACCCTCCCAAACTCATCCACTAACCTTTGCAACTTTTATTTAAAATCTCCCATAAGCACAGTATCATCAGCAAAGAGTAACTGTGTCAACTCCCATTTTGTATTTGATTCCCTCTAATTTAATCCCACCCCTATCCCCAACAACCTAGCATTTACTTCTTTTACAACCCCATCTATAAATATATTAAACCACCATGGTGACATTACACATCCCTGTCTAAGATGTACTTTTACTGGGAAGTAATCTCCCTCTCTTCTACATGCCCTAACCTGAGCCTCACTATCCTCATAAAAACTCTTTACAGCATTTAGTAGCTTACTACCTATTCCATATATGTGCTTGCAATATCTGCCACATTGCTCCTCTAACCACTGTATCATATGCCTTTTATAAATCCATAAATGCAATGAAAATTTCCCTACCTTTATCTAATTACTGCTCACATGTATGCTTCAATGTAAACACTTGATCTACACATCCCCTACCCACTCTAAAACCTCCTTGCTCATCCGCAATCCTACTCTCTGTCTTACCTCTAATTCTTTCAATAATAACCCTACTGTACACTTTTCCTGGTATACTCAGTAAACTTTTTTTTTTTTTTTTAACAAAGCGGCCGTATCCCACCAAGGCAGGGTGGCCCAATAAGAAAAACAAAAGTTTCTCTATTTAAATTTAGTAATTAATACAGGAGACGGGGTTACTAGCCCCTTGCTTCTGGTATTTTGGTCGCCTCTTACAACACGCATGGCTTACGGAGGAAGAATTCTGTTCCACTTCCCCATGGAGGTTAGAGGAAATAAACAAGAACAAGAACTAGAAAGAAAATAGCAGAAAACTCAGAGGGGTGTGTGCATATATATTATATATGCTTGTACATGTATGTGTAGTGTGACCTAAGTGTAAGTAGAAGTAGCAAGACGTACCTGAAATCTTGCATGTTTGAGACAGAATAAAAAGACACCAGCAATCCTACCATTATGTAAAACAATTACAGGCTTTTGTTTTACACTCACTTGGCAGGACAGTAGTACCTCCCTGGGTGGTTGCTGTCTACCAACCTACTACCTATAGCTCAGTAAACTTTTTTTTTTTTTTTTTTTTTTTTTTAACAAGTCAGCCGTTTCCCACCGAGGCAGGGTGACCCAAAAAAGAAAGAAAATACCCAAAAAGAAAATACTTTCATCATCATTCAACACTTTTGCCTCACTCACACATAATCATTGTTTTTGCAGAGCTGCTCAGAACACAACAGTTTAGAAGCATATACGTATGAAGATACACAACATATCCCTCCAAACTTATTCCCCTATAATTTTTACAGTCTCTTTTGTCCCTCTTTCCTTCATATACAGGAAATACACATGCTCTCTGCCAATCCCTAGGTACCTTCCTCTCTTTCATACATTTATAAAACAAAAATACCAACCACTCCAACACTATATCTCCCCCTGCTTTTAACATTTTCTGTCATGATCCTGTCAGTTCCAGCTGCTTTACCCCCTTTCATTCTACGTAATGCCTCACGCACCTCCCCCACACTCACATCCTGCCCTTCTTCACTCCTAAAAGATGTTATACATCCCTCAAAATATTCCCGCCATCTACCCAATACCTCCAGCTCCCCATCTACTAACTCCCCTACTCTGTGTACAACTGACAAATCCATTCGTTCCCTAGGCTTTCTTAACTTGTTTATCTCGCTCCAAAATTTTTTCTTATTTTCATCAAAATTTCTTGACAATGCCTCTCCCACTCTATCATCTGCTCTCCTTTTGCACTTTATCACCACTCTCTTCACCTTTCTTTTACTCTCCATATACTCTGCTCTTCTTATAACACTTCTACTTCATAAAAACTTCTCATAAGCTACCTTTTTCTCTTTTATCACACCCTTTACTTCATCATTCCACCAATCACTCCTCTTTCCTCCTGCACCCACCCTCCTATAACCACAACCTTCTGTCCCACATTCTAATACTGCATTTTTAAAACTATTCCAACCCTCTTCAACCCCCCCACTACTCATACTTGCACCAGCCTACCTTTCTGTCAATAGTTGCTTATATCTCACCCGAACTTCCTCCTCCCTTAGTTTATACACTTTCACCTCTCTCTTACTTGTTGTTGCCATTTTCCTTTTGTCCATCTACCTCTTACTCTAACTGTAGCTGCAACTAAATAATGATCCGATATATCAGTTGCTCCTCTATAAACATGTACATCCTGAAGCCTACCCATCAACCTTTTATCCACCAATACATAATTTAACAAACTACTTTCATTACGTACTATATCATACCTTGTATACTTATTTATCCTCTTTTTCATAAAATATGTTTTACTTATTACCAAACCTCTTTCTACACATAGCTCAATTAAAGGCTCCCCATTTTCATTTACTCCTGGCACCCCAAATTTACCTACTACTCCCTCCACAACATTTGTACCAGTTTATTTAACAAAGTTCTCCATCTACTGAACGGCTTACAAGGAAAAAATGCACTCTCTAATTTGTTCCCCAGAATTAAAGTGCCTTCAGTAAAAGGCTCTTGGTCTAAGGAATTGGAGCCATGATCTCTTGGATCATATTTGATTGCCTCTCATTCCTCATTTGCAAGGCATTATATACTGCCTGTGGGCTTAACTAGAACTATAGACCACTCTTCAAGTTGCCAGTCACTATTCTGGTTATTCATAGTCATTTATTGTGACTAACCTTTATTTTGTGGTCTGTAGTGTTTCATATGTGGTATCGTAGTATTACAGAAGGAAAACACAGTTTGTTAGATAGAATAATGAATCAGTAGAAGAATAAAGGCCATGGTACAGTGCTTGAAACAAATCATAACTAACACTTTGGAGCAAAAACTAAAGTTTCCTCTACAAAGTGTGTTTTACTGTGTAATGACTCGTGGAATCTACAGGTTAAATATCTTCTGTTTCAGCATTGAGGAAATTCCTGCACAAGTGTTTGTAAATTGCACAGATCTGCTGTACCTCAATGTTGGTGACAATCGTCTGGAGACCTTCCCACCTCAGATACGACGGCTGGTTCACTTACAAACACTCGTTCTTAATAACAATCCTTTAACACATTTTCAGTTCAGGTGAGTGTATAGACATCTTGTGACATACATGCTAAAAATCTGTTTATTTTCTGGCAAAATTAGGTTAATTTGTCATTGAGATAAATACTGTATATCAAAATATTAAGCCAAATTAAACTCTTTATCAAGGAACTTGTATAAAATTTTGGCCTATTATTTATTTCTGGGGAGCCCTATTATTTATTCTTGGGATATGGGAGGTTATCAGTAAATAGTTAGTTGGTCTCACCCCAAGGAAAAGGACCTGAGGAGTCTATTGTAAGTAAACCACACGTTCTCTTTCGTGGACTATCCTGTGGTAATTAAACTTCCTGGGTTATACTTGATTCCTGGTGTATGACCCATGTGAGTTTAGTGCTTAGTTTTGTTTGTAATAATAATAATAGCAATAATAATAATAATAATAATAATATACTTTATCGTTACAGACAGCTGCCATCCTTAGTTGCTCTTCAAACACTGCATATGCGAGCCACACAGAGATCCCCATCCAATCTTCCGGCAAGCTTGGAGAATCTTACAAACCTGGCAGATGTAGACCTCTCACACAACAACCTCGACAAGATTCCAGACTGCATTTATACACTCAGTAACCTAAAACGACTGAACATGTCTGATAATGCCATTACTGAAATATCTGTGGCCATTGGTAAATGCTACATTCTTTCATTGTGTCAACCCCTGCATGTTTTATAAAAAAAACATACATGTATTTGTTCATAGTTCAGATATGTTGAGCATGTTTCCTTCCACCTGCTGTCCCTGTTTACATAGCAGTAAGTAGGTATCTGAGTGTTAGTCACTGTTGTGGGTTGTATCCCAGAGGATGGTAATATATGTACCTTAGATAGATAGGTAGTAGGTTGGTAGACAGCAACCACCCAGGGAAGTACTACCGTCCTGCCAGATGACTGTGAAACAGAAACCTGTAACTGTTTTGCATGATGGTAGGATTGCTGGTTTCTTTTTTCTGTCTCATAAACACACTAGATAACAGGGATATCTTGCTACTCCTACTTATACTTTGGTCACACTTCACAGACGTGCACATGCATATATATATAAATACATCTAGGTTTTCCTGTAAAGATTACTAAAAAGAATAAGAAGAAGAAAATTGTCAAAGTGGGAAGTCTGAATGTGCGTGGATGTTGTGCAGATGATAAGAAAGGGATGATTGTGGATGTTATGAATGAGAAGAAGCTGGATGTCCTGGCTTTAAGTGAAACAAAGCTGAAGGGGGTGGGAGAGTTTCAGTGGAGAGGAATAAATGGGATTAGGTCAGGGGTTTCAAATAGAGTTAGAGCTAAAGAAGGAGTAGCAATAATGTTGAAGGATAAGCTATGGCAGGAAAAGAGGGACTATAAATGTATTAATTCAAGGATTATGTGGAGTAAAATAAAGATTGGATGTGAAAAGTGGGTTATAATAAGCGTGTATGCACCTGGAGACAAGAGAAGTGTAGAGGAGAGAGAGAGATTTTGGGAAATGTTGAGTGAATGCGTGGGGAGTTTTGAATCAAGTGTGAGAGTAATGGTGGTTGGGGATTTCAATGCTAAAGTGGGTAAAAATGTTATGGAGGGAGTAGTAGGTAAATTTGGGTTGCCAGGGGTAAATGTAAATGGAGAGCCTTTAATTGAGCTATGTGTAGAAAGAGATTTGGTAATAAGTAATACATATTTTATGAAAAAGAGAATAAATAAATATACAAGGTATGATGTAGCACGTAATGAAAGTAGTTTATTAGATTATGTATTGGTGGATAAAAGGTTGATGGGTAGGCTCCAGGATGTACATGTTTATAGAGGGGCAACTGATATATCGGATCATTATTTAGTTGTAGCTACAGTTAGAGTAAGAGGTAGATGGGAAAAGAGGAAGGTGACAACAACAAGTAAGAGGGAGGTGAAAGTGTATAAACTAAGGGAGGAGGAAGTTCGGGTGAGATATAAGCGACTATTGGCAGAAAGGTGGGCTAGTGCAAAGATGAGTAGTGGGGGTTGAAGAGGGTTGGAATAGTTTTAAAAATGCAGTATTAGAATGTGGGGCAGAAGTTAGTGGTTATAGGAGGGTGGGGGCAGGAGGAAAGAGGAGTGATTGGTGGAATGATGAAGTAAAGGGTGTGATAAAAGAGAAAAAGTTAGCTTATGATAGGTTTTTACAAAGCAGAAGTCTTATAAGAAGAGCAGAGTATATGGAGAGTAAAAGAAAGGTAAAGAGAGTGGTGAGAGAGTGCAAAAGGAAAGCAGATGATAGAGTGGGAGAGGCACTGTCAAGAAATTTTAATGAAAATAAGAAAAAATTTTGGAGTGAGTTAAACAAGTTAAGAAAACCTAGGGAAAGTATGGATTTGTCAGTTAAAAACAGAGTAGGGGAGTTAGTAGGTGGGGAGATGGAGGTATTAGGTAGATGGCGAGAATATTTTGAGGAACTTTTAAATATTAAGGAAGAAACAGAGGCAGTAATTTCATGCACTGGTCAGGGAGGTATACCATCTTTTAGGAGTGAAGAAGAGCAGAATGTAAGTGTGGGGGAGGTACGTGAGGCATTACGTAAAATGAAAGGGGGTAAAGCAGCTGAAACTGATGGGATCATGACAGAAATGTTAAAAGCAGTGGGGGATATAGTGTTGGAGTGGTTGGTACTTTTGTTTAATTAATGTACATAAGAGGGGAAGGTACCTAGGGATTGGCGGAGAGCATGTATAGTCCCTTTATATAAAGGGAAAGGGGACAAAAGAGACTGTAAAAATTATAGAGGAATAAGTTTACTGAGTATACCAGGAAAAGTGTACGGTAGGGTTATAATTTAAAGAATTAGAGGTAAGACAGAATGTAGGATTGCGGATGAGCAAGGAGGTTTCAGAGTGGGTAGGGGATGTGTAGATCAAGTGTTTACATTGAAGCATATATGTGAACAGTATTTAGATAAAGGTAGGGAAGTTTTTATTGCATTTATGGATTTAGAAAAGGCATATGATAGAGTGGATAGAGGAGCAATGTGGCAGATGTTGCAAGTACAGTGGACCCTCGACCAGCGATGGCATCGATTAACGATAAATCTGACTAGCGATACATTTTATCGCAAAATTTTTGCCTCGATTACCGCTAAAAAACTCGACCAACACTATTCCTTCTGTCTGAGACACGTCCACTTCTGGCCAGTGTTTACAAACCAGCCAGTCACCGCGGTCGCTTCCAAGCATACAATGGGAAACATTTCTATATCACAGCCTTTATAGTGATTGCCCCTGCAAAATAAGTCACCAGGGGGCCCCAAGGGAAAGCTTCTAGTGCCAACCCTACAGGCAAAAAGGGTGAGAATTACTATGGATATGAAGAAAAAAGATCATTGCTAAGTATGAAAGTGGATTTGCATGTCTCCGGGGCTGGCCAGGCTGTACACAAAACCCAATCAACCATCGCTACTATTGTGGCCAAGAAAACGGCAATCAAGGAAGCTGTTCTTGCCAAAGGTGCAACTATGTTTTCGAAACTGAGATCGCAAGTGATAGAAGATGTTGGAGAGACTGTTTTTGGGGTATGGATAAACGAAAAACAGATAGCGGGAAAGATAGCATCTCTCAAGCGATCATATGTGAAAAGGCTAGGAAGTTGCATGATGATTTAATTAGAAAAATGCCGGGCAACTAGTGGTGATGTGAGTGAATTTAAGGCTAGCAAAGGTTGGTTTGAGAGATTTAGAATCGTAGTGGCATACATAGTGTGATAGGCATGGTGAGGCTGCCAGTTTGGACCAAAAAGCAGCTGAAAAATATGTGCAGGAATTCAAGGAGTACATAGACAGTGAAGGACTGAAACTGAACAAGTGTTAAGGGTGACCTGACAATGTTGTAAAAACACGTTAGGAACGTCACAAAGGAACGGGAGGTACAGGCCTGTATGGGCAGATATGTTGTGCGACAGAGGTCCAGTGACTCTCAAGCTGGTCCTAGTGGCATTAAAAGAAGGGAATAAACCCTGAAAAAGGATTTGGGCCACCTCAAGTCCTAATGGAAGGGGTTTCCCCCTTCTAAACACTAAGACCATCAACACACTCCCCTCTTCCCATCCCATCAGTCATCACCAGATCTTCAATAAAGGTAAGTGTCATGTGACTGTGCATGTCTTCTTCAGTTTGTGTGTATTAAAATTAATATTTCATGTGTTAAATTTTTTTTTTTTCAATACTTTTGGGTGTCTTGCACGGATTAATTTGATTTCCATTATTTCTTATGGGGAAAATTAACTCGACTAACGATTATTTTGACTAACGATGAGCTCTCAGGAACGGATTAATAGCATTAGTCGAGGGTCCACTGTATATGGAATAGGTGGTAAGTTATTAAATGCTGTAAAGAGTTTTTATGAGGATAGTGAGGCTCAGGTTAGGGTGTGTAGAAGAGAGGGAGACTACTTCCCGGTAAAAGTAGGTCTTAGACAGGGATGTGTAATGTCACCATGGTTGTTTAATATATTTATAGATGGGGTTGTAAAGGAAGTAAATGCTAGGGTGTTCGGGAGAGGGGTGGGATTAAATTTTGGGGAATCAAATTCAAAATGGGAATTGACACAGTTACTTTTTGCTGATGATACTGTGCTTATGGGGATTCTAAAGAAAAATTGCAAAGGGTTTGTGGATGAGTTTTGGGAATGTGTGTAAAGGTAGAAAGTTGAAATGAACATAGAAAAGAGTAAGGTGATGAGGGTATCAAATGATTTAGATAAAGAAAAATTGGATATCAAATTGGGGAGGAGGAGTATGGAAGAAGTGAATGTTTTTTGAGATACTTGGGAGTTGACGTGTCGGCGGATGGATTATGAAGGATGAGTTTTAAACATAGAATTGATGAGGGGAAAAAAGGGGGAGTGGTGCGTTGAGGTATTGTGGAGTCAAAAAACGTTATCTATGGAGGCAAAGAAGGAAATGTATGAAAGTATAGTAGTACCAACACACTTTATTGGGTTTTGAAGCTTGGGTGGTAAATGCAGCAGCGAGGAGATGGTTGGAGGCAGTGGAGATGTCCTGTTTAAGGGTAATGTGTGATGTAAAATTATTTAGAAAAAATTTGGGAGTGTGGAAATTAGGAAAAGGTTTTGGAGTTAATAAAAGTATTAGTCAGAGGGCAGAAGAGGGGTTGTTGAGGTGGTTTGGTCATTTTGAGAGAATGGATCAAAGTAGAAAGACATGGAAAGCATATAAATCTATAGGGGGAAAGGGAAAGGGGGGGGTGGGGTCGTCCTCAAAAAAGGGGTTTGGGGAGAGGGGGTAAAGGAGGTTTTGTGGGCAAGGGGCTTGGACTTCCAGCAAGCGTGCGTGAGCGTGTTAGGTAGGAGTGAATGGGACTAATGGTACTTGGGACCTGACGATCTGTTGGAGTGTGGCAGGGTAATATTTAGTGAAGGGATTCAGGGAAAATGGTTTTTTTCATATAGTCGGACTTGAGTCCTGGAAATGGGAAGTCAATGCCTGCACTTTAAAGGAGGGTTTTTAGATATTTGGGAGTTTGGGGGATATGTTGTGTATCTTTATATGTGTATGCTTCTAAACTGTTGTATTCTGAGCACCTCTGCAAAAACAGTGATAATGTGCGAGTGTGGTGAAAGTGTTGAATGATGATGAAAGTATTTTCTTTTTGGGGATTTTCTT